GGCCAATCAGAGCCCAATTTTGATTTTTGATTTCCTGGAAACAGATTTTGCCGATTCCGATAAGACAGGCTCTTAATAAGGCTAAACATGGCATGTTCTGGGACACCACAGAACATCTGAGGTCTATGCCGCACCATTCTCGATTCTGCGTAGCCCCGTTGCGGAGATCGTCGCTGATCGGGACAAGGAAGCAAAATGTATTACCAAGAGGTGCACGCTGCAGCCACGCAATTTCGATAGGTGAGTGCAATCACGGTTATTGGTTATAAGCATGTCTGTCTTGTTGGTGGGTAGGTGTGAGTTTCTGTGGCGACCCGTCAGACGTATGAGAGGAACACACTTCTTGAAAGGTAAGAGCTCCTTGCGAGCGCCGCTGCTGCTCTCTACTTCCTCCTCGTTGTAGTCGCACCAGGAAGTCTACGAAGGAGAGAGGCAGCTTCTCTTGGAGGGCGAGGATCACATAATTCCTACGGCAATTTCTTCCGTTGAAGTCCGAAGGGTGTGTTGCACGTCTCTCTCTCTCTCTCTCTTTGAGATTCAGCAGGCGGCAGGAATTCCTCCTGTCTGTCCGAGTCTGTCCGATTTGTAATGAGCAAAGAGGTTGTGCCGCAATAACCGCGCTGGCGGCGATGATGTCGCCCTCTCCTAAACTGCGTGTGTCAAGCACCCTCATTGTATCTATCTTGTGCGGGAAAAAAATTCTCAAGACCCGGCTATCGTAACGAACAGCGCTGCTGTGGATTGCCCAGCGGAAAAGCCGCTGCGATGTCTTGACGAGGTCCACTGCCTCCGCTCGATTGACACACCTCTCGGTACATTCTGGCTCTAGGTCAGGCCGTCTGCCCAACGTGACTGGAGTAATGACCATATCGGCATGTTGCAGCCAGTCAGAGCAGTACACCATTGACTGCTGTTGGACGTGCTCCGGATCAAATGAAAAAGGCGTCACAATAAGCACCGGTTGCCCCCACCTCCCTAGTTGCTTTTGGCATCAAGAGGTTGGTTCGCCTGAAACGAGCTACGGCGGTGCTCCGGAGTACACTGCTGTACAGCCACCCTCATGCCGGCGGGACTGCCATTATCGCCCCGCAGTCGGTCTTCGGTCTCATTGCTGCATGTGTATCGAGGGCTGTCTTCTCTGTCTCGGAACAGTTGTGCATCGCGTTACCCACGAGTCTCAACTCTTGGCGCGCCTGTCTGTCTTGGATGAAAGACCGCCCGCGAGACACCCGTCGTTACCACCTCTCAGTGTTGATGGCGTACGAAAGGCCCGTCCCAAAAGCACTACCGTCCAACGGTAGAAGCTACGTGTACACCGATGGACGCATGCGTGTCTTTATCTGTCTTGACCTGAGCCCCTCCCTGATCGTCACACGGCAGTCACACCAAACAAGCGGGGAGATACCCTAAGGAGCAGGCGGAACTGGTCCCTGCAGGGAGCTGCTTTCCCGCCTCTGCTCTTCGTCGGGAAGGGCAACTGGGCGTCGACCCACCCAGCGGCCTGATCTGATCTAGCGATAGAGGTCTGCTGCCCACATCGGACCAGTGTAGACTCGAACGAGGCTTGCACCGGGACAAGAGTCGACGACAGCAGGTAAGGCGCGAGATGACTTGTAAAAACCCGCGTAGACGCTATGCAACCGGCCATATCGATACACGTAGCTCGTCCCAGAGCAGCCTCGCGCGTTGTGAAGGGTCTGGTGTCTCGACTTCCGTGGTGTTTCGGTTGTAAGAAACTGAGGTTTTCGTCATGCCCAACGGCAAAATGCCCCCCTGTTCGTGCTGGTATCAGAGCATGAACCGTGGTGGCCTGCCTCCCCCACTGCTGTCTAAGTTTGCCTTCGTATCCTTACAGAGTTCAACCCCCGGTCTTGACGCTTTTTATGCCGCGCTTTCTTTTGAGGGTGCAAAGTTCGGCTTGAGCTGTGGACGAAGAGGGAGGACTTTGATAGGAGGTTCGGTTATTTTGACCAACCGACGGACCCAGCTTTGGCGTACTCTAGAGTTAAAGTTGGGCGGGGGGGGCATGCAGTTCCTGAGAGTTCCGCAACGCCCGCAATTACTCAATGCGACCGTTACAAGGTGTGCGCACAGTTGGACGTGGAAAACGTGCTGTTCGAACGCTATAGTTTCGAGCTTGGAGGTGTTGGGGTACAGCATGCCAGGAGAGTGTGGCAGTCGATGTCCACGGCAGATGTCGGTGTTGGAATCAAGGAGCTTGCAAGCGCTCGCTGGTGCTGCAGCTTCTGCCGAACATGTTACATGTTTGGGCACAAGGCGCCAGCACCTAGAACCCGTTGCCCGCGGCTCGTTTATTTCCTCTGTGGGGTTAGCTTACCCCAACATCGACTATGTACGTAAGATTTAGTTCAGGGTTCTTTAGCGGAGCACCTGTCCTTGTGGTTGCGTTATTAATCATCGATCTTGGTAAGTTCTCAACCCACTTCCCAGGTTTGTAAAGCGCTCCTGTAATATTGCACCACATGCCGGATCGATCGATCCGGATGGACGAAACGGAGAAATACCGGCGTCCAAGTGACCTTATGAAACATGACCCCGGGCTGATTGCAATGACTGGTCATCGTCCGCACGCCACGCCCACATGCTTTTCGGTGCAACCGTCGGTGATAGGTCATGTCGGACCCATACGGGCGCCCGGCTGTGGTGATCGACAATGGTACCGGCTACACCAAGATGGGATACGCCGGAAATGTAGAGCCGCAGTACATCGTGCCCACTGTTGCCGGGTTCAAGGCATCGCAGGTGCCCTCCGAACTGTGTGCATACATACGCAATAGGTTTGATGTTGTGATAAGGTCGGCTTCGCTTTGGTCCAATGCTCCCCCTTTTTTTCGGGGTCAGAGAGTGGGTTTGAGTGTGGCACGGAGGTAGAGGTCGTTTGTCATCATCCCTTTGCGTAGGGTCGATTCTCGCAATACGTACATGTACTCAGGACTGCAGTGGGGACTGTCTCGACGACATCTGATGTGATGCGATGCGGTAGTATGGACGGGCGGACCACGTGTCGTTTCGGTACTCCATCGCGTCGAGATTCATATGTACGGGGGGTTGCATAGGATATGACACCCCCTGGACTGATTTTTCAAAGCTCGATTTCTCCACGACGAAGAGGATTCTGAAATCAATATATGTGTTCGGAAAGCTCTCGACGAGACAGTTCCAACGCCGCCATTTTCGGCACGGTCGCTCCTTTTCCTGTGGAAAAGTCGAGCTCCGAAAATCGGTCCAGGGGGTGTGATATCTTATGCTATGCAACCTGCGGTAGTTCTTACACTACGCGTTGGCTGAAGAACGTGGACTGCAACTGAAGCGCGGGAAAGGTTCCAAGCGTTCTCCTCACGTGTTGCAGATATCATGTACCCTCGCGCACTGCTTGTGATGCGGCGCATGCGTTCTCGTGTCGACAAGGTTTGGGCCTAGTGGTGAATTGGTTGGTGCTGGGGTCACAAACGTCGCCGATTGTAGAGAGCATGACTATCATTAGTGTTTACAGCACCTGATTGTTCTGTGATTGCAGCTTCGCAGCTGTACCAGCAGTGTCTGTTTTTCTTGCCCTTGTCGGCAGGTAAGACGCCCACCTTTCGCGCTATCTTGAAACCTTGGCACTATTCGATCTCATGACCGTCGTTGCCGCGGACCTCGGAGCCATGGTCTACTCTTTGCACTGTTTTTTGAGAAGGCCAAGACCAGCCAGCAACGTGATGCAGCGGCCGACATGCACGTCCTTTTTTGCTCAAACCCTCACCCTAGCCCGGTGCGATTGTCGTCTGCATCATCCCGAATCGTTCGGTGTGTTGGAGCAGGGGGGGCTGGAGGGCAAGCGAGATGGCCTCGAGGACTTGGACTTTTACATGGGGAATGACGCGCTCAAGCACAGCACCACACACCAGATCTCCTATCCCATCCGGCACGGCCTAATCGAGGTATGTACTTTTTTTTTTTTTCCTCTTTTGCTTGTTACTTGGAACAACATCGTTGTCGCTGTTGATGGTCCCGCACGCCGCTCGTTGCCAATGCTGCTGCTGCTGCTGCTGCTGCTGCCGAACGGGGTTGCCGGGGCTATGATATCTAGGACTGGGACAACATGGAGCGCATGTGGCAGCAGTGCCTGTTCAAGTACCTCCGCTGCGAGCCCGAGGAGCACCACGTGATGCTCACGGAGCCCCCGCTCAACACCCCCGAGAACAGGTGCGCGTGTTGCGCTCACGGGGCCCCCAGTCGGGGGGCCTCTATGGTGCGGGTGCCCGGTGATGGTGCCGGTGAAATGGACTGAAACAAATAGACTCACAAAGATGGATACACTGTGGGGGGTACTCCATAGTGCCGGGGTATGTCCCGAGCTTATGCCGGCACTTACCCGGAAACGGGCGCTATTCAGAGTAGAGAACGAGCTGGTATTTCAGTGTGTGCGAGCCGAAAACACCGGCACTACACCTGGCACCAGCACTATAGAGGGACCCCCACTGCAATGGATTTGAAAGGGTGAGTGCCCGGTTGAACGCGCTTGGGCACGTACACCCGCACTTTGGAGGGCCCGCCGACTGTACTAGGAGGGATCCGTGTGGCGAAACGAGTGTCAGGCGCAGGCGGAATATAGGGCCGATGATGGAAGTCCACGTCTCGGGGCGTTGTGCGGGCGGCGTAGATCGTGTTTAGACGAGAGCGTGTCTCTGCTGTGCAACGCCTGTTGCGATGTGCCGTACGTTGATCGAGCCACAGCCGCCCCAGGGGCACATGGAAGGGTGCTCCCAAGCAAAGCAAAGCAGGCAGACGGCCTGGAATCAGACGTGCCCCCGAAGCCGCGCCTGACGACAACTGTGCGTGCCACCACGAGTGTTGTGGGCACGTTCTAGGCGGGTGCAACGGCAACGACGCTGTCGACTGATCATGAGTGCGAGCCGCGTAAGCGTTTACCCTCAAGCGGTGGAGCCGACCGACGTCTCGCATCGATGAGCAGCCTTGATGCGGTCGTAAGGCCCCAACCTTATTTTCGATAAGGGTCAGGTCCGCGAAGCGAACGGAGGGGGGTGGGGGGGGCGGGTCGTTCTACCTCACTACCTCTGTTCAAGGCCGCTACGTCATTTGAGGGGCAATGGCGTTGTTTTCTCAGGGTCTGAAACTGTACTGTCCACAATCTCTCTCTATTCGTAACGGCACACGCTTGCTCGAGTTGGTGGTGGTTGGTCGCGGCTGTCTCTTGGCGTGTACGTACACCGACTGATGGTAAATCCCTCATGTCTTTTTCTCGCTCGCTCGCTTCTTACGGCACATACTCGCTCGACTTCCCGTTGTCGCGGCTCTCTCTTGCCAGGGAGTACACCGCGGAGATAATGTTCGAGACGTTTGGGGTACCCGGCCTGTACATCGCGGTACAGGCAGTCTTGGCCCTCGCGGCTTCTTGGAGCGCGAAATCGGTGAGCCGCCGCCGCCGCACACCATTTTTTGTTATTTCTCTGTGGTCTGTGTTGTTCCGAGTCGTCACAGGGCCGTACGACTGATGCTCGTTCTTGAACTACGTATGCGGGGAGACTATGATTGCTGCTTGTTCGTTTTGTTCCTCTGCTTTGGCGACAACCGGTACACTGCAATATGTACGGTAATGGCAGCAGCAACGACGAGGACGACAACAACATAGGGTGAACGACAATGACAACAACAGCAGCAGCAACAACAATATTGACAACAAGTCAAGGTCTCAGCCACCGCAGTAGTTGCAACAACAACAACCGCAACCGTAGACAATTTTTTTTTTTTTTCTTGTCTCCGCCGCTGTGACTGACCTAGCGCAACTTAACGTTGGATAACATTTGTTCGTCTGTTTTTCTTCGTGCCCCGCTGCTGTGTCTGACAGGTCGCCGAGCGCACCCTCACGGGCACGGTGATCGATGCCGGTGACGGTGTCACGCACATCATCCCCGTAGCGGAGGGATACGTCATCGGCAGCTGCATCAAGCACATCCCGCTCGCTGGAAGGTGTGTGTGAACGGCCCAGCGGGGCAGGGTGGGGTGGCCGTGGTCGTGTGTAGGGGTGGCCTGTTCCCACATGCGCTGTGTGGGATTAAGATCCTCGTGCTGCTCTTGTAATTTGTTCGTCCTGGCATGCCATGGTGATACTGTAGTCATTTAGGTGGGTTTTGTTTTTTTTTCTCGGGGGCGTTGGATGTGTTCGCTTTTGGAGAGCCTTGCCGCGCCACGGTGTTGGTACGATGTGCGGTTGTGTGTGTGAGTGTGTGTTTGTTCTTATTGGCGTCGACCGCGCCAACCGGCTGCCCAATGAAAATACGTCAGTCGCAGTGCGGTGGAAAACACGAGATGCGTCTATCGGCCATGATCTGGGACCTTGTGACCGAGCGTCATGGGGAAGTGTACGCTACTCCGGTTTGAGGACCTTACCGTGGCAAAAGTGTGTGTGTGTGTGTGTGTGTGTGTGTGTGTGTGTTTTTGGACTTCGCAACGGCCGCGTTACCCGTCTCACCCATCAAGAGACGTGAGTCTTATGATACGTAGTGAGGAATGTTGTGTTCGTGTCCTTATGGTAGCATTAATATTCACAGACCAAGGTCATTTTGTTTGCTGCTCGACTCGTGGAGTGGTGTGTCAAGCAAGCTACGATTGTTGACGCTGCTAATCTTTTTGACCTCGCGCGTGTGCGAAAAATCGCAGGGATATCACTCAGTTCATCATGGAGATGCTGAGGGACCGGAAGGAGCCTATCCCGCCGGAAGACTTGCTCGATGCCGCGAGGTAACCCGTACAACATGGAAAGGAACCCCGTACGAGTAGTCCAGGCAACTTCCTCGAGCACTCCAAGCTCCTTAGCACGTCCATCGAAAATGCACGCCATTTTCTTGAAACCGAGTTACTCCAGGCAACCTTCTCAACCACTCCCAGCCCCTCCGCACGATTTTATGAACAGCATGCAATTTTTGTCGAAACCGAGTTTGTAACACGTGAAGGGTCAGCAAGCGTTGTCGATGACGGGACCCCCCTCAACACCAAGGGACGGAGCAGTCAAGAGATTATTACATCAAGTGGCCCTGCGGGATATTTGCTACTTCTTCTATTCCTTTACGGCGCCGCGCTTCAACCGACCCCGCACTGCCTTCTGCCTACCAAACGGATGCTTGCGATCCAGCCCCCCCTTGTGTGGAGGTCGAGTTCTGGTCTTCGGATGTTGGGTTCGCCCTTTCATTCATTGAAGTGCGGGGCGTCGTCGCAAATGTTTGTATCAGGGTTTTTTGAAATAATTTTTGTTGCTTGTTTTTGTGATTTCTTAAAGGCGCATCAAGGAGTAGTACTGCTTCACGGATGTTTGGGACAATTTTCTGCTCCTTTTCGTGAATTCTTAAAGGCGCATCAAGGAGCAGCACTGCTACTGTGCGCCGGACCTGGCGAAGGAGTATTCAAAGTACGACAAGGACCCCAGAAAGTTTTTCCGCATGTACACCGGCAAACGGGTAAGAGAGGGTTTGTGAGTTTCATTAGCTTCTATCGGCACACTTTGCACGCGTTTCATCTCAAATGGGGAAGGTGCTTCGGGATGAGACAGCGCGATTGGTGAAAAGCAGCGGCCCACGAATCAGCTGCACCGCCGATGTGTAGTACGTAATGTACGCGTGAGTTACGGCACACCCGGCCGAGCAGATGATGGCGGCTTGCCCTTTGAGCTTTGGGCAGAGCTACTGCAGTGCTCTGCTGTCCGGGGGGAAACAGCCACGCAAAGTCTCACGAAGTGGCATGCCTTATCCCTACTTTTGTTTTTCGGCACCGCCTTGCAAGGATTTTTTTTTGGTGTATTGTGTAGGTCGACCTTGTTTGGCTGGCCTTGTATGTGTTGTGTGTGTAGGCCCAACACGTTCAGTTTTACCACAACAGTGTAGCCATTTGCTGCTGCTATCCTCTTTGTCGGAGTATACGGTGCGGGGATAACGTGTTCTGTGCAGCGTGGTCCCCCCTCGTCAATGTCACCTGTCGTTACTATTTTCCTCTCTGCTCTTCCTGGCAACCCTGCCGTTCGTTGAGAGCAGCGCACGCATACTTGACCCCCACCGTATCCAATGCTTCTTCGTTCATCGCCATTCTTGGAGAGCAGCGCACCCTTACGTGACGCCCACCGTTTCCAATGCTTCGTTCATTGCCACTCTTCTGACAGCAGCGCACGCTGACTTAACACCTACCGTGTCCAATGCTTCCTTCATCGTCATTCTTCTGAGAGCAGCACGCTGACTTGACGCCCACCGTGTTCAATGCATCTTCGTTCGTTGCGGTCGCAGAAAAGCGGGATGGAGTACTCGGCGGACGTGGGGTACGAGCGGTTCCTCGGTCCGGAAATGTTCTTCTCTCCGGAGATCGTGTCGTCCGACTTCTTGACGCCGCTGCCGCAGGTGGTGGACGAGGCAATCCTCAAGTGTCCCATCGACTCGCGGAGAGGCCTCTACAAGGTGATTGGCTGATTGATGGGCTGATTGATTGCCTTGTCGGGGGCGATGGTGGTGGTGATCTCGGCAGTGTTGTGTATGACTTCACCATGTGTTTGCCGGTCCTGTGCCTAAGATTGGCTGACTGATTGCCTTTTCTGTCGTTGGTGGTGGTGATGGGGTTGGTTATGTTTTGTGGTTTGCCAGAATTGTTTGTTCGGTTACGGGCGCTGTTACGTGTTGTGGTGCCCTTTTGTTGTGGCTTGCCAGGTGTCGTTGTGTTGTCGTGCGCTCTCTGCGGTGTTACTGACGCTGTTTACGATCAGTCGCGTCAGGACATGTTGTTTGTACTCGCGGAGGTCCCGCATGCAGCACGTCTTGAGTATCGTTTGCGTGTCCCCCGCGAGTTTTGCTGCGCTCCTCTCGCCGATAGCAGTCGTCCCCGCTTCATGATGCTATGTTTTCAGAAGTGTAGTGCCCGTGCCTAAGTTAATCGGGGGATGTAGTTCAGAAGGACAGCAGTTCCTCGCTTGAAGTACGGTTTTCATGAAGAACCGTGGGTCCTGATGAATCGGGGACGACTTCTCCTCGAATACCGTACTCTCGAATCGAGCTTACGACTGTGCTGCCCTGCTATTGCGCACTTAGCTTGTTGAACGCGCTACTGCAGTGATCACCCGGTGTCGTTTTAGTTTGTTTTCTTTTATTCTTTCTGTTGCTGCGGTGATCACTCGGTTTCATTTTCTTTCTTTCTTTTTTCTCTGCTGCTGCGGTGATCCCTCAGCGTCCACTTCTTTCTTCTTTTTTTGGTCCTTTCGGGTGCACGCCGCGCGTTCCTCCATTCGCCTGCACCAGAACATTGTGCTGTCGGGAGGGTCGACCATGTTCAAGGACTTCGGCCGGCGTCTGCAGAGAGACATCAAGAGGAGGGCCGACGCTAGGATGGAGGCGAACCGCCTCATCACCATGAAGGTACGGGTCGTATACCGTTGGCGCTCGCACTTGACGGCCTCTAGTTTTGGCCTAGGCTGAGGACCTTGGACCTCGCTGCAAATGGCCGCAATATTGTTTTTTTTCATGGGGATTCAAAATTGATAAAAAGTTGATAGATGTTGAGTTTTTCGAGGCTACTGCATGTCGATTTCTCAACTGCCGAGTTGCTTTGTGCATGGCCACCACATCGGAGTCGGCAGTGGAAAATAACGTCGCCGTTACTGTTTCTGATTTTGTGTGCTGTTAAGAGAGCGATATCCACGATGTACGCCTGCCCGTGCCGTGGTGTTGCTGGCGTTTGGTTCTTCAGGCACTGTTCCTCGTCAAGTCGTTTTTTCTTCGTACTACCCCTGCCTCATGTTCGTTTGCGAAGGGAGCTGTTGGACCTGTCTTCGAAAGTTGACGTGCCGTATGGTATTGACGTGTCGTGGTGGAAGGTCGGCCAAAGGATTCTCAAGGAGAAACGCAGCAGCAGTACCGGCAGCGACAACGACGACCCCACCTGCAATAACCCCAACAACGACAACAACAATATCACCAACAACGATAACAACAACAACATTTTCCCCCGCGTGTAATGTCGTTTTGCTTTCTTTCTTCTTTGTTCGCTTTCTCGTGCAGGCGGGTCTGAAGGAGGTTGTCCAGGCGTCGGCGATCGAGGTGAACGTCATCGGACACGCCTTGCAAAGGTGAGCTAATATATACGTCGCTAGGGCAATTTCTTCCAGCCACAGGGACCGTTGTTGCCACGTGGTAACCCGTCTCCAGGGCGTTTGCGCCGAAGGGTCTGCTGTGTCGTCCCTCGTTGGGCTGGGCGTCGCTTCGTTTGGGCGCACTGAGTGAGGTGGCGCGGTAGGCAGCTGTTTCGTGATGCCTGCTGCCGCGGATTGTGTTTGAAGGGTGTTTTGTAAATAGTTAATAGTCGCTTGCATACGAATGAACGTTATTCAAGTTGTCGGCTCCTGCAAGGCATGCGCAGCGACCAGTCACGCGCATGTGGATGATCTTCTTCTTCCAGTGAAAAAAATGACCCCAGCGCACATAGGAATAGGAAGCGCTCGTGGAGAGTAACATTGCATGCATGACACACGCTTAAAGTAATTGCCTTCCGTAGCATCAGGACGCAAGTCCCCTCTCTCACGGTGATGACTCCCTTCGCACAGAGCAAAGGGTACGTGATGCCGCCCTCTAGCATTTCGATTTAATTTTTACGTGCGCAATTTGTGCCACGATTTCGCATCCGCGTCAGTCGGACCGGTACGGATGGTAGATGGTACGGAGCAGAGACCGGAATGGTTTTGATGTGTGAAAACAGCAAAAACATCAACAACAATGTCGCCCCCGTTTGACAGGTATGCCGTGTGGTTCGGCGGGAGTTTGGTGGCCTCAGGGCCGGAGTTCTACCGTGTCTGCTGCACGAAGGCACAGTACGATGAGGAGGGCCCAAGGATCGCAAGGTATGGAAGGAACCAACCGTTACTCACGCCGCACGCTATCATGAAAAGCTCGTTGTTTTTTGTTGTTGTTTGAACAGCGGTGCGGTCGTCCTCGCTTTGCGGATAACATTTATTTATTCAGAGGCATGGTGCCCGGCAAAATGTAAAAACAGTAGGGGGGGTGCAATCTGGAACATCCCCCCGCTTTGCTTCTTTATTGAAGAACCAAGGTTCCTCAACGACTGTGACGTGATCTTCCCCAATTGCAACGGCTGTACATAGCATGGTCTTGCGATTCACTACCGATAGCGAAGACTTCGATCCTCCGTGGTGCCTATGCCGGTCGTGGGGTAGCAGAACAGGAAACGCGGGCGCAGATTACGAGTCAAGTTGAAAGCCATTTTTGCTATGTGTGTTGTACATTTTGGCAACAAACACGACGTTCGGAGCGCTTGGATACACGTGGTTGGCATACGAATGGACCAGCACATGTTCTTTTTAAGTCGCCGACAACCAACCTTTAGGGGGTCGCTGTTTTTCACTCGCACTGCCCCCCGTTGCGATAACGCCTTTTTATCGTCGGTGCGACGTTGCAGGCACAACCCTGTCTTCACAGCGCAGTTCTAATGGAAAAGATTTTGCGGTGGATCGAAAGGAGGCACCGGTGGTGGACAGGGGTGACCCGGATGGTCTTCCCGTGGGTGGTTATTCTTGCCCCGGCGTGTCCCTGAAGGCTCTTTTGTTCCTGTCGTATTTGACCTGTGTGGTGCTTCTGTGTTGGCATATCCTTCTGATGGCACGCATTCCCCACAGCAGTGTCTAGTAAGTGTTGTAGAGAAAGTTAGCAGCGTAAAAAATGCCGGCATTTGCCGGCATTTACTGCTAGGTTTCCCCGCGAAGGTATTTCGGTGAACGGTTTATCTCGAGGCGGTCGCGGCCTTACGCCGCGTACCCTTGTTTGCCATTGTGTCTGTCGATCCTGGGGTCGGTATTTAGATTTGAACAGGCTGGTGGTTGCATTCATGTTGGCTTTCCGGGCGCAGAAAATAAATGGGCGTGGAGTCGTCCTGACGGACGCGCAGACTGCTTCGATGATTCACTGCAGACGACATGGTAATTTGCATCGCATCGAGAGACCGAGCAAAGTGGGTGCATCGGGAGTCCCGCATCGGCACAGGGTCTCCCGAGTGCATCGCCCGGTGGAGTCGAGCTACATCGAAGCGCACGTGCATACAACCTTCGCACCGCTACGTCGACACGCATATCCTAAATCACGCCATGGTGATCATCGATTTTTTTACTTGGAAGGCCATGTGTGGCAGCAACTTTTCAACGAGAAACGCTGAAGATCAGACGTGCTTGCGGGAAACATCCATCAACAGGTGAATCCAACCCGCAGAGGGTGGTCTAGAAAGTGGCGACATCATGGGGGCAATCGAAAGCAGCAACTGTTTTCAGAAACAGCACCGACCAACAACACGATGAAGATGCCTATCATGTAATACATGCTTTCCTATGTCGTACTTTTCATGTGCCTTCTCTTCCTCTAGATTGTATGCAATGCAGACGAGGGTTGCACGCACAAAGCGCTGAGTAGGAGCGCGCAGCACACCTTAGCACGACGCGGAAAGGCTGCCGAATGAGCGACAAGGTCTAGTCTACACAGTGCCAGGACATCGAGTACAAAGCGGCAACATTCAAACCACGAACAAACATACAGATGCAGGTAATCCATAAAAACCGGCCTGTGTCCTACAGAAAACAAGGGCGGCCCATGGCGGCGATTGACGGAGGCGACCCACGGCCATAACGTAGCTACCACATCGAACGGATCCTTGAACCAACAAGAAACAAGAAACAATCCTCCACGACTTGTCCTTACTGCGACCGGGTGTAGGCCTGCAGACTTTGACAACGCAACGTGTTCTATCTAGGAAAAAAGTCGGGTGCCAATAAACACGTAATCACCACCGACAACAACGTAGACTAGTCTACGTAAGAGACTAGCGAAAAATCTCACCAGAAAGACAAGTCAACGTACGAGGTGTGCAGGACATAGACTTGGCGTGGCGCCTTGAGAGGTGTCATACCGCGTTGGGACGAAGAGATGGCAGGGGAAGGTCGTGCGTTCACGAACTTCGACATTCTCTTCTCCGTCAACCATACGACGAAAAGAAGGGAGATGCTTACGGCTCCAAAGGTGTTCGCCACATCTATCTTCGCCACCGACACACGACCATAAAAAAACGCAGTCACGCCACAAGAAAAAACAAAACAAAAAAACGTCCGTCCCGGCGTGTGCTGGGCTGCCGCCGTCAGGGGCGAGGGTGTGACACAAAGAGACAATCCTGTATTTATTTTTTTTTGCAACGTGTTAGTGACTCTTCCTTCCTAAGCGGTTTCACGCCCTCAGATTGGTCCCGCGTTGNTCCCGGCGTGTGCTGGGCTGCCGCCGTCAGGGGCGAGGGTGTGACACAAAGAGACAATCCTGTATTTATTTTTTTTTGCAACGTGTTAGTGACTCTTCCTTCCTAAGCGGTTTCACGCCCTCAGATTGGTCCCGCGTTGGTTCCTAGCCTTGACCCTCTCCAGCGCCCTCTCACCGTTCCGCATTCCGAGCACCCGGCGCAGTCGCATTATCGACCAGCTCGTGGCCGCTAGGCCGTGCTTTGGCCGTGGGTGAGGGTGAGGGTTAGGGTTAGGTAACTAGACCTCAGACAATCAGCACCTTTGCCCCGAAACCTATCGCTGCAGGTCCACCACGAGCAATTATATAAAAAAGAAACGCGAATCGGAACAAGGGTGTCTTCTTCTCCACGGCGAAAAAAAAACAACAGGTATGGCCTCGATTCAGAGCTGGCAAACTTCTCGCGATGAGAACTAAATGATGAGGCAAGAAGAACTGCGCGTGGAACATTGGGCAAAGAAACAACGAAAGAAAAACGATCCTGTGCGACCTTCCCATGCAACCCCGGCTGACACGTCAAACTTACACACCGAGAAATGATGGACTAAACACACACAAACACACGCGACCGCGCCTGCCCTGACCTCTCGGTAAACACTGGGACAAATCATGCATCGAAAATCTCCACACCTACCTGTCATCAACGCATGAGCAGTACTGCTGTAGGAAAACCACCCCCCACTTTCGGCTTAAAAGAAAAAAAAAATGTGCACACATCGCACCACACCAAAAGACTCCCCCATCATTTCGTTTTTCCTTGGCGAAGAGCCTTTAGCTCGAGCCCGCCTTTTCCTGCCCCGCACCGCTCGACGCACCCCCCCGTCCCCGGCACCAAAACGCCATCAGGGTGTGACTCTCCCGAGACAACTGCTGTCCGGAGGCCCCCTTTTTCGCCTTCTTCCGAGAACCAGTAGCTTCCGGCCTCTGCTGCTGCTCCACCCCGTCCGGGTGTTGCCGCGGCCGACGCCCTCGCTCTGGCTCAGGGAAGCCTTTCCCGTGCCACGCGGCCGAGGACACCCCCCTGGGCAGTCCCTCCATGATTCCGCGACGACCCCCTTTTCTTGACCCTCTCGTCTCCTGCTGGTGCCCTTTCGCAACAGCCACCACGTCCGAGCCGGTGGTTGGTGGGGGTGGGGGCTCCGCAGACGCGCCAATAACCCTCCGGATACCCATGTTCTCGTCCATAGTGTCCGCTCCAGAGGACGTCTCGCTATTCGACGAAGCTTGAAACAGTTGCGAGGTGTCGTCATGCGCGGGTGCGGTGGCGATACCACCTCCACCGACAGCAGCAGCGCCGCCCTTGGCGCGGGCAGCCGTCTCCGCGGGCCTTGCAGAAGAAGCCCCGGGTCGCATATTGGGCGAACAGGGAGAGAACACGGCGGTCGATCCGCCGCCGCCCCCGTTGCCGCCACCGCCGCTAGCCGCCGCATTCATCCTCTCGCCCGTACCGCGGCTGTGACTCTGGTGGCCCTGGCCCCGGCTGCCGCTGCCGCCGTCACCATCACGCCGGCTGTCCACGCCGGCGGCCCGGATTTGCTGCTGTCCCCCGGACCCATCACCCCGGGAAACAAGAGGCCCACGATCATCACCACAATGAGCGTGCTGATCACCATCACGATTGTCCACGGGGGCCCTCCGTCTCCACAGCGAGCTTTCGCCGCGGCGTGCGCCGCCCTCTCCAAATTTGCCGTGGCACGGGTACGAGCGCACCTCCCCGCCGCCACCGCTGACCGCGCCAACGGAAGAACCTCCTCCGACGGCCGCCGCGGCGGCGGCGTCCGGGTCAGAGCCCAACGCTCCTGATGATCGAGCGGAAGCACCGGCGCCGGCAACGACAGGGGCAGAGGCCGAGCGGTGTCTGACGCGAACGGGGTCGATGGTCCAGACTCGCACGGTCTCGTCGTCCGAGCTGGTGGCCAGCTTCAGAGGCTCCGCGCGGCACCAGTCCAACCCTGTCACTTCGTTCATGTGCCCCTGGGGGGAGGGGGGGGGGGGGGNNGGGGGGGGGGGGGGGGGGGGGGGGGGGGGGGGGCGTACTCTCATATTTGGCATGCCTCAGCGGTTAGACCATTGACCACGCGTCCTCGAGAGGACGGGGCGGGGTGGGGTGGGGGGTGTACTCATAGTCGTGCATGCCGTAGTCGTTAGACCATTGACCACGCGTCCTCGAGAGGACGGGGCGGGGTGGGGTGGGGGGTGTACTCATAGTCGTGCATGCCGTAGTCGTTAGACCATTGACCTCGCATCCCTACGAACCCGGGATGGAGCTCCCCGGGCTTTCACCGGACCAGGTTCTTGCGCCACTAAGCGCGAAGCGCCTCGAGGTATTCAGCGAGTCGCACGGAGGGTGCGCGGCACCCTGCTAGGGGAATTCGGCATCTTGTTCTTGCCTCCTTTGCAAACGGGTGACAGCTGCGAATGACTTTATTTTCCGGTGATATCACTTGCAGAGACAGCTACGACAAATGTGTAACTGCCTCCAGGGTGCTTGGCCAAGTGAGCAGAACGTGGTGCGTCCATCCCCTTTGCGTGGAGTGAGGGTTCTCGACCCCGCGCACTATAGTCTACCCGAGCACCTGGGGGGCGGGGGCGTTTTCATGTTTTGCATGGCTCAGCGGTTAGACTCTTGACTACGCGTCCTCGAAAAGACGTAGCATTGTCCCACAGGATTCATCACCGATACGGGGCGCGGGGGGGGTGTACTCATAGTCGTTTCATGCCGTAGTCGTTAGACCATGGACCTCGCATCCGTACAAAGCTGGGACGGAGCACGCCGGGTTCTCATCGGACCAGGCTCTCACATCACCAAGCGCGACGTAAAACCGGGACGGAGCACGCCGGATTCTCATCAGACCAGTCTCTCACACCTCCAAGCGCGAAGCGCCGATGCCGGGGGGGGGTGAAGGGGCTCCACAAGTGGCCAGCGTCACCCCTGGCTGCATTCCATCGTGTACACGCACTGCTGAAGGACGGCAGTCTTTGACCACACGCCTCAAAAGAGACTCGAAACCAACCGAGCACCGAATGAGTCGACAACAAATACACAAAAGTGTGCAACGACACGCCACTCGCGGGGACACGGAATCTGGCTGGCTCGATGGCATGTGCAGCAAGGACATGGGGTAGAGAGAATCGTGCGGCCGCTCACGTCAATTTACCCACGCCGAACGAGGGTTGCTCGCGTGTTGGCATCTTATATTTTTCATGGTCTGCCACGATCACTCAACCCAATTTCACACTCCAGAGCAAAGATGGTCCCCGTCATAGTTGCCACTATTGAAAATGACATTTGGAGTCTTGCTTCGAGAAGGCCCCAGGAACGAGAGCGTCTACACCGTGTGTAATCAAGCAACAATGACTGTGCAACATCCTTCCAATCCACCAGTCCTCACACCCAACAATCATCGGCCTTACACCCAACAATCACCTGCAAAGCTTGTAGGCAGTGCCCCACGCCCAGAACAACAACCCACCCGCCTACCGCACCTCAGGAAGAACTCCTTCCCTCGGCTACAACGTGAAGCTGCGACCACCGTAAAAAGATTAGGCAAAAAAGATGACAAAACTCACCGTGAGCCTAGCTACGGGAAGCCCAGGGCAATCCACCTGCCACAGACACACTGCATCGTCTGCGGCACCGCTGGCCAAGAGAGATCCGTCGGGGGACAGCTTCGCCTTGATGTAGTACGACGACCTGGTTGATTTGGCGTCGGCAACAGTCCACAGAGGTCGTGGCCGTGGGAAAACTTGTTGAGAAAAAAAAAAAAAATGCTGTCCAGTGTTCAGCAGAAAACGCAAAAGGTCATACAACACCGTAATTGCATTGCATCTGCTGCATCCTGCACTCATTGTCATCTATGAATAGAGATGAAGTTGTTCATCTGTGGATAGAGGTGAAGTCGTCGTGTTTTCGTCAGGAAACGAAAAACATGAAAATAGGCATGGATGAAATTATGCGTCTCAACTCCCGAAAGACCGTCTGTCGCCCATGGCGCCAATTCGGGACTTTTACTTCAGGCTCTGCCGATACATAGATGCACGAGCCTCCTTGATGATACAGAGTGGTATGATCGAGCGGCTGCTGCCGGGGGTGTGCATCGCAACGGGCACAAGCGGGAGCCATCCTCAAAAGCAGCGTGTGCACTTGACCGCAGCTGACTGCACCCGAACGAAGCGCTGCTGTAAATGCTTTTCGTGAAAATCGTAAGAAATCATAGACCAGGGGTACGAAGGGGCGAAACGACGGTCCCGCCGCGCGTACATCGTAACCGCGGCACAATAAAGCACCCCAGGGTGACAAACGCACGTAATATCTGGACTGCCTGGGCAAAGTGAGCAAGGATATTACGAAAAAAAGACCAGGCAGGGAGCACGCAGACCTTAACCTTCACTCCAAAGTAACAAGACTCTATAGTACATCCAGTATGTTTGCTTACGAGAGCACGCAGGCCGTCACCTTCACCCCAACGTAGCAAGATTCTATCCTCTTCCCAGTATGTTTGGTTACGAGTACGAGGGGTGCTTGCAATGCCGTCTGTGGCATTAAGAAAAAACTGCGTAGACTACCGTTACATCTTGGCAGAGCTACATATGCATGTGCCTGCAGTTGTACCTGTTCGCATTCCCGGTGTAGGCACCGAGGGGTCGGAGTCCGCCGCAGGCGTAGGCGTACACGGAGACACGGTTCTTGACCGTACACACCTGCGTCATGTTCATGTGGAAGCGCCCCAAGCCGTGGAAAATGTTTTCAACAACGATGGTTGGGGTGTGGTTGAGTAAGCGTGGGCGTGATGACTACGGCAGCGATAAACAACACACGGTAGTTGTTTAGCACGAAGAGAGGGCGAACGATGCGTAGACGTGCCAACGCGTCGCACCGCCGACGACGTACCGCGGCGCAGCCTCAACACCATCCATCGCCAATAGGACAATGGCCACAACAAAAACAACCAACAACGATGCGCATCCTCAACACCATCGCCAATGGGACAAAAAAGAACAACCAACAACAATAACAACAACGCCCATCCTCAACACCATCGCCATAGGACAACAACAACGAAAATAGCCGCATCGCCTACTACGGAAATAAAAACCACTCGGCACTAGGGGAACGTACCACTCTACGGCAGCACCCACCCCACCCCACCACAAACCAACCACCTCAAACACCGCCGCCCGTCCGTCGCGCCCCTCACCGCTATCCGCGACCCGTCGTCGCACGCGTGCACCGACGACACGCCGGACCGCCTGCCCCCCCCATCGGTGTTCTCCTCTGCAACCGCGTCGCCCCCCCTGACCCTGCCGTACGAAACAGCTCGACGTCGCCGCCGCCCCCTATTTGCAGTCGCCGCCGATGAACGCCTCCCCCCGCTGCCGTTGCCACCGGTGCCCGTAGCTCCTGATCGCGGCACTGGCTTGCCGTAGTCAAGGGTCCACATGGAGCGGGAGTTTTCCGAGAGGAGAGGGAGCGACGCGGATTCATCGTCCGGGTCGGCTTCCTGGAGGGGGTGGTGGACGTACCTCGTGTCCCAGAGCTGTGCGGAAAGAAGAAAATATGCACAAGCCCCAAAGGACGCACGCATGGAATGAATCAGGATTGAGGAAAAGGTTTGTGCTCATGTAAACGCACGTCACCGTCGCTGGACCGTTGACCTCGCACCCCTAAGATGCTGGGGAGGAGCGATATGCCGCGTGCTCGCCGACCCAGGCTACCTTTCACGTTGGAAAAACGGAGGAGGTATCTGCAAGCTGGAAGGGGGTGCAGATATAACATGTAAAGGTTTTTGAGACAAGGCGAGTCGAAAGCAGGATGCGCGCGAAGTTGTTTCCTACAAAAAGTTATAGTGAAGGGCTGCCGAAAAAGGATGACAAGGCGATGATGAAAGGACCCTCGGATACGTGAAGGTACAGATCGGCAGAAGTCCACATGAAGCGGCCACGCCACGCCCAACTAACCCCCCCCCGCGCGCACAAGCATATGCGATGGGGAACAAGCTCCACCGCACGACTTCGCCTAACTCGATTTTGCGCCGGCGACGTAGTCGACCCAGCACAACCTCCAATGACCTGCTACGCATTCGAAATACGCCTCGGTTCCGTTCAACGTATGGCAAACATCCGGGCGCACGACGCGGTTGAGCGCGCTACATGTTACCGTACCCCGGTCGTACTCCACAGCGGTGGCCCCTTGTGTGGTTAGGAAACACAGGACACAGGTTGGCGAACCTCTTGACCCACAACGAGACTACGGGATGCAGATGATGCTCGTAAGCTCGTCATGATTCTGATTCGTCGAAGGACATGGATGGCCCAGCAGCAAAGGACACTGACCGCTGGCTACGCGATAGAAGGCGGGGGGAAAATCACGCACACCAGAAAACAACCGCGTGAGGGAGAGAGACCGACACGCACGCCGCTGACCTTAATGAGTCCGTCCTGCCCAGCCGTGAGAAACGTCTGCCCGTCCGGCATCCACTGCACCGACGTCACGGTGCTCGCGCAAGGCCTCCCGCAAACCATCCCGTCAAAGCCTCCCTTGACGGTCTCGTCCATTCTAACGTAAGACCGGGGAATCTTAGGGTCGCGGTCTTCTGTGTAGTGCGCCATAAAAACCTGTCGCCGCGAGGGCACGGCATGATATGGTTACGGTACGACACGACTACGGTACGGCTAGGGTACGGCTAGGGTACGGCTACGGCTCGGAACGGAACGGTTACGGTACAATATGGTGACGGGACGGCACGGCATGGCTACGGTATGGCACGGTACTGTTTTGGCACGGTTACAGTTTCGGTACAGGACGAGGTCAAAGCTAGGAGTCGAACCTAACAACACGTCTCAGATGATGAAGACGGACCTAATACACACGTCTCAGATGATGAAGACGGACCTAATAACACGTCTCAGACGATGAAGACGGAACGGCTGTCGTTGAAAACATCTTGTAAGGTTCCAAACGGTTGAGCACCGCTGCGAAGTCGGACACGGCAACTCATGTACACATACTTTCAGAACAGCGGCCTTTGCACGAGCACATGGGGAAGCATAGAGCAAAAAGTGCTCCAGAGCAGGATGGCCACGGGTGGGTAACTAAGTCAGAGCTAAGACCGCGGTCAAGCCAACGAAGCGCTGTGCATGTGCGAACTCGGAGAGCGGAGGGTAGCGGCCGTAGCGCCAGCCTTAGAGTGCGCACGCGATGATTGCCAATACGCTTGCTTGGCCTACCTGTTCCACCGGCGTGAGTAGCCGCCTCTGTAGTCTGTTGGCTGGAGTCCAGGCTAATGCTGAGTACTCCTCTGCGACCACCCTGCGCGTTAGGGATGGGAACGGAGCAGCAGCCACGGACCCACGCGACAATTTCGTTTTCAGTTCAACATCCGCATCACCGCTTTTCGAAGTGTGCATGTACCCTTGTCAAGGGTAGTTGGCCTGTGGCCACGGAAGGCGGTCGGTCCGCGTCAGTTGGACCGGTATGGATGTTTGAAGGTACTGAGCAGAGACCGGAACGGTTCTATAACAGGAAGATAACAACAACATCGGCAGCACAAGAGCCCGGAGAAGCAACAAGACTAGGTAGGCGGGTGCGCTACGCTGGATCGGTTGTCCGCTACCACCGATCCGACTTCATTCAAAGGGCTCAGGCGATAGGGCGCAGCCAGCACTGCACATCAGCACGGCAGCCAACAACAGGAGCAGTGGGATTAGGGACAGTAGCTGCCACTTACTGGCTGTGACGTGGAATTTGCCACTCTTAGCCTTGATGCCCGTCGTGCCCATGTATAGGGACGGAGCGACGGCCGAGTACTCTCCCACCGCCTCAACGAGATTATCGCCTGTAGTCGTGGCTTCGGTTGTGACGAGAGTCGGTCATCTCGATGACGTAATTCACGCAGATGTTCTAGTGCAGTCGCGGTATCGCCGAAGGTGTGAGCCGTTGACTTTTCCTTTGCCAAGATGATGCGCGCCACAAACGAACGAATATCGACTATCTACCGTAGCGGATGATGTCTGAACCGCTTGCTGGTCGCAGAGGGTCACTCAAGCGCTAGACATATCTCGCTTCGACGCCGACGAGGGCATTGTTGTCGTGCGACAGTTTGTTGAGAAAATATCCACAAGATCACAGGAAGAATACCCGATCGAGACGCAAACACAGTCGTCGAAGGGCATGTGTTGAAGTCTTTGCAGGGAGTAGCGGTTCAGGTTCGCTTATGTCGCCACACCCAAAGGGATTGTTACATTGTAGCTGTACTGTAGTATGTAGACATGACGTGAAACACACCGAGCTGCTTGACCACCTCCGTCTCTCGTGCTGATTGTATCAAAAACTCTCCATCGGTTCGTGTGCGCGGCTGCGTGTTACAGTACCTACCTATTCATGAGTTTCTTGACCGGCCTGCCTTGCTGCAGCCGCGTGTCCCACACGGCGAACGAGCCGTCCCTCGCTCCCGAAAGGATGACGCCTGCCCATCCCAGAGAGGCAACGCAGATGGAAATCCCGCACGCGGAGGGGGGGGTCCGGATGGCGATGGTACTAGTTAGCCACCTTCTCAGCGTGTGGTGCAGAGACGAGAATGAAGAGCATCGCCGAGGCTACAACATACCAAACGAACGAGCAAGAGGCTACAAAACGCAAGCGGTGCGCCGCCGCTTTGCAAATAGCGAGCTTGTTCAACAGCCCCCCCCTCCATCGACGTTCGTCAGAGGGTCGCCTAGGGTTAGGGTCATGCTACCGTTCCTGAGGTGGACAGATTTGCTCAAGCCCATGCCAAAACACGCCAACAGGACGTAAAACTGAACCACAGGCAGAGTAGGCTGGACTCACAGTTGTCCAATGGATTCGCAGAAATCGTCTTGACGCTCCCTTCGTGGCCCCGCAGCACCACCACCTGCAGACATCGCCCACCGATTATTTCAGAAATATTCTTCCAATGGGCGAAAACACGCTACTCGTACAACGAGCAAAAGGCGCAGCGCACTTTCTCTCGTGTTTCTCTCTCACACAAAAGGGCCCAGGAGAACAAATCTCTCGACCGCGCGCGCCCATCGCCGAGACCATGGCAAGTCCACTTTTCCAGCGTGGCAAAATCAGCCGCCCCCACTCCGAGCAACACACTATCCGACGCCCTACAGGGATAAGCCGCTTGCAACCAAGGGACGGACGGGTCATGCGTGATTTCTAAAAACCTCCCATCAGGACACATCTTCTCGGGAAAGACGTCGATTTCCACGTCTTTCCCCCCGTTGGGGCGTAAGTTTGTCGCTTGGCATGACAACCTTGCTTGCTTGTGTCTGGCAGTGGCCACCACATGAAAAAGTGAGCTGAGGCTCACAGCAGGTGGCGGTAACACTTGTACCAGAGGAAACAGTTCAAATTAGCGCTTGGATGGCCGGAAGGCAAGAGAAGGAAGTGATACAGAGTGGATGCGAGCACCACGGGGGCGAGCCACCGGGAGCGAGCCACCCATCCTCATCGCATTGCCACCTTTCCCCCGCTAGGCAACGAACAGTCGAAGTCTGCCGAGGGAGGACGGCATGTGTCCTTGTCAACAATCAACAGAACCTCTCAGTTGTCCGGGGCTTGTTTCTTATTTTCTTTATGGGGCAACTCAACATCGACCATGAAGGTGTAGGTGCGAACCGCAAGGACGCGAGAGGTGGCACGATTCGGGGAGGAGATGACACTGGTCGGAGAGATGGCATCGGAGGGGGGGGGGGGGGGGGGGGG